TCTTTCTCTGCAGGTCCTCACCACTCTTCCTGAGGGTATGGGGTTAGGCATGCTTTCAAAGCCTGCGAGACATTTTCCTGATCCTACTCTCCCTCCTCCTCTCCACAACTGTTAGGCTGGTTGCTCTAAAACACAAATAGGATTATTTTACTCCCATTGTCCTCCAAGTGAGGCTTGCACAGCTCTTTACCATCTGAGACTTGTCCGTTTTGCTGTCCACATTGTCAAGATCCCCAATGGCCCCCATGTTGTTAAATCCTGTTAATTCTCAGTACTCTATTTACTTGGCCTTAAGCAGCACTGGACACAGTGGATCATGCCCTTTTCCTTTTGGTCCTTAACATTTTATTTCTAAAATTTTCAAACTTATGAGAAAATTTAAGGAATAGGACAATGAGTGTCCAATACCCTTTACGTCGTAGACTCTCCTATGTGGCTAACCTTTTGCCACATTGCTTTTCTTGAAAGCTGTGGGCATCTTGATCTCTACCCCTAATTTCTTCACCTTTCATTTCCTAAGGAAAAGGATATTCTCTTACAAAACTACTATACGATTAGCACAACTAAGAAAAGTAATGTTAATCCACTATCATCAGTAATATCATCAAACAGTTCACATTTAAATATTCCCACCTGTCCCTGACATCTCTTTTTAACTGCTACTCCTGCCCCACCCAGTTCAGAAAATTCTTCTTATTCAATAAAGGTGCAAGCTTCCTCCTTGGCTGTCACGTCTCCTTAGTCCATTTTATCTAGAACAGTCTTCCTAGCCTTTTTTTCTTTCATGATATTGACATTTTAGTCAGTCTAGCCCAGTTGTCTTATAAAATATTCCACTCTCTGGATTTGTCTGTTTCCTCATGAGTGGATTCTAGTTAAACACTGTTGGCAAGAATAGCGTGCGGGTGGTGTGTACTCCCCACTGAATCCCATCAGAGGTCCATAATGTCAGGTTGTTTCAACACCCTTGAGATGCTAAGTCTGAGCTCTAGGTTAGGGTTGTGACTGCTAGATCTCCCTGCTGCGAAGGTACACGCTCCCCTTTGTAATTAATTATGGGCTAGTCACTCCATGCTTTCAACACCTCCCGATCATCCTTGGCTGAATGGGTCATCCCCTTGGGAACCTCATCGTTTCTTGGCTCCCAGGTCCTTCTATGCCTTTGGGTCTTCCTTACCTCTCCAGTTGCCCCTTCTCAGTCTCTTTGTGGTTCTTTCATTATCCTTGACCTCTAACTGTTGGAATGCTCTGGGCCCCAATCATCAGCTCTTTGTCATCCTGTCTTGTGGCTTTATATGCCATCTAAAAGCGGAGGATTCCCAACATTTCTATCTCGAGTCCAGACCTTTCTCCTGAGTGCCACACTCATGTATCCAGCTGCCTCTTTGACTTCTCTACTCATAGGCCTCAAAGTTGTCTGGAACTTATTAGGTCCAAAAATGAACTCTTGCCCCCTTCCTCCTTGAAATGATCTCATCCATCCCAGTATGAGAATGCTATCCTTTCAGGGGCCCACACTGAAATGTTGCAGTTACCCTTGTGTGTTTCTCACACCTTCCATGTCCAGTTCTTCAGAAGAATCTGTTGATGCCATCTGCAGGGTCCCTGTGATAGCCTGCTCTCCCTGCTTCTGCCCTTCCTTCATAGCAGCCAATGCAGTCTGTACAAAACATGACTCAGATCATGCCTATCCTTTGCTCAAGTCTCCCTGTCCTATTGGAGTTCAAACCCAAGTCCTAATCTCAGTCTGTCCAGCCCCATCTGATCTTCCCTCCACCATCTACCATGTGGCTTTATTTACCATTACTCTCCCCCTCATTCACTTTGGACATTCTGATATGTCCCACATTTGCCAGGCACTCTCCCCACTCAGGGTCTCTGTATTTGCTGTTCCCATTTTGGGGAACACCCCCCACACCCCCGATCTCCTGGCTTTCTCACTTCTGCAGGTCTCCGCTTTAGTGTCTCTTTCTCAGTGAGGCCTTCCCTGATCACCTGTCTCCCTTTCCTGCTGTGTCAGTCTCTGCAGCTCTCCTCACCACCTGACACACTGTTCTTTGTTATCATATATTCCCTCACTGAAAGTCAGCTCCACAAGGGTAGAAACTTTGTTTTTTTACTGCTCTGTTCTAAATTCTGAAATGAATTTAGATTCATGTCAGGCACACAGTAGGTGTTCAACAAATATATTTTGATGAGTGAATTGACTAGATAGATTTCTGGCATGTTAACATAAGATATACACCCTCTTGGGGGGTCTAAGGAAGTACTGATGGTCTAAAGCAGTGATTTTCAACTGGTGTGCCTGTGCCATGAGAGGAACTTAGGTGTGCTGAGAAAAATTTTAAAGATCATTAATTAAATTATTTTTGAAAGAAGTTCAAAGCACAGTAAGTGTATTCTTTTTTTTTTTTTTTTTGTCTGAGATAGCTTCTCACTCAGGGTAGAATGTCATGCATCATCATAGCTCACAGCAACCTCAAACTCATGGGCTCAAGAGAGCCTCCTGCCTCAGCATTCTGAGTAGCTGGGACTACAGGCACTCACCACAACACCCAGCTTGTTTTTCTATTTTTTTTGGAGAGATGGATGGGGTCTCACTGTTGCTCAGGCTGCTCTTGAACTGCTGAGCTCAAGCAATCCACCCACTTCAGCCTCCCAGAGTGCTAGGATTATAGGTGTGGGCCACCATGCTTTGCCTTTCTAAGTCTTTTCTTTTTGATCAACATAATCTAAGTGTGCTGTGGAAGTTTAACTATAGGCTCAAGTGTGCCATGAGATTAGAAAGGTTTGAAGTGTCTGCATTCTCTATCAGCTACTTGTAGTTATTTCAGTGAGATAGGAGAGCAGGCTGTGCCCAGGGATGGGTTGTGGGGTTCAGACCATGGCATGAGACAGGACACATGAATCTAAGGCTGGCATGTGTCTCATGGGATCATGCACTTACTTGTATGTTAGTATGCTTTTGCTTGTCTGCAAGTCTTTCCCTGTCATGTGTAAGGGCTAGTGATCCTCTGTGTTTCCCTCACCAAGAAAAACTGCATATGCTTTATCGGGCTATGAAACCTCTGTGTATCTGTGAGTGACTCTCTCAGCTGCTGCATCTGGAGGCCTTAGCCCTCCTATGATTTTGGGCCCAGGCGCAAATCAAAGCCAGGTGCAGCTGTACTGAGATACTCCTTTTTCTGGCTGGGTGACACTTTGCCCTTGGAAGCACTCAAGTTCAAGTTCACCACTGGAGCATAAGCAAAGTGACAACATGCAACTAAGAGAGTATGTTTGCTCTTCTCCCTGCCCAGAAAACCTTTCTCCCAGGTCTTCCCATGGCTGGCTCCATCTCATGATTCAGGCTTCAGCTTGAATGTTGCTCCCCTGAGAGAGGCCTGTCCAGAACATTCCACAGCTGTCTGAGGCTGTGCAGTTTGTGCATCACAAAAGCATTGTGCAGAGGAGGTGAATGAAGCCAAAAATCCATCCTGTGCTCTGCTCCTCAAGGATTTCATATAAGAAAGGCTGTGAAGGGTGAGCAGAGACCTTGGACACTGTGCCTAAGTTAGCACCTTCTACCTCCCAAACTCGCTCTCACGTTGTCCACTTTAACACATTCACGTAATTTGTAAGGGTCAAATCAATGTAACTGGGATATTTACCATTTAAATATTTGTCTTTTCTTTCTGCCTGCAGTTCCTAACCCGTGAGCCACAGACCAGTACCAGGCAGTGGCATGTTAGGAGCTGTGCTGCATGGCATCACTGAATTCCACCTCCTGTCCCATCCTCCCCCCAAATCTGTGGAAGAATTATTTTCCATGAAATTGATCCCTGGTGCCAAAAATCTTCCAGTCTGTAGCCTGTTAGGAAATGGGCTTGGTTTGGCTTCCATAGCTCAGTGGTTAGAGCTCCAGCTACAAGTACCAGGATTGGTGGGTTTGAACCTGGCCTGGGCCTGCTAAAGAATGACAACTACAACAAAAAAATAGGAGTGGTGTTGTGGCTGGGGCCTATGGTCCCAGCTGCCTGGGAGGCTGAGGCAAGAGAATCACTTAAGCCCAAGAGTTTGAAGTTGCTGTGAGCTGTGTGATCCATGGCACTCCACTGAGGGTAACAAGTGGGACTCCGTCTCAAAAGAAAAAGGAAATGAGCTGCATAGGAGATGAGTGCTGAGCTAGGAAGGGAAGCTTCATCTGTATTTATAGCTGCTCTCCATCACTAGCAGCACTGCTTGAGCTCTGCCTGCTGTCCCACCTGCCACCTCCCATGCCCCCACCCCCACCTGTGGAACAATTGTCTTTCATGAAACTGGTCCCTGGTGCCAAAAAGGTTGGGGACTGCTGCTTTGTGCTAGAAACATTAGAATTAGTCTGTTTTGAAATGTACATAAGAGATGGGCATGCTTACTTGCATTTTTTATTTTAGTAACCAAAAATGTCCTTAGATCAGCCAGTTTGGATTTGAGGAAACTGAGGACCTTCAGAATGAATGGATTCATCCTTGGGCACTCAGCAAGTTAGTAGCAAAGCTGGGTCTTGCTTGAACCCAGAACTCCTAGCCACAGAAGCAGTGACCACAAGACCTGACCAGGGTCAGCCTTCGTCTGGCCCCCATCCTCTGGCACTGCTGGTGCCAGGTGCATTGACACTTGCTTTGCCCCTGGCTCACAGCTCTGAGGAGAGCCTAAGTTTTTTTTTTGAGAAGTGGGAAGAGACTTGGCATTGATACTGGTAAATCATCAGAACCTCAAGTATACATTATTATTATTGCCCCCCATATATTCTAAAATAATCCTTGTAAATAATTATAAAAATAAATCTCAGTGACAAATTTTTATTTTATTTCCAGGAACACATTTATTCATCCTAATCTCTTCAGGGGTAGGACAAATTGGAGCACTGGGTAGTGAATACAATTTGCAAATAGGCAATATAAGTAGAGAGAAAATTAATATGTATTCCTCAGCGCTCTAAAAGGAGAGGAAGAACATTAATAGCCATTTCCTTGCAGATATAACTTTGAAAATGTTATTTCTGATCCATCAGCGTGGGGCTCCACATAAGGAAAATGGTTACAACGTGACAAGAAGCGATTAGATGTGAAATGGCATCTTTCAGGTGCTCCTCCCAGCTGCCTCATCCTGTTTTTAGTAAGTCCTGTTTTCTTTTCTGGTCTGGGGTCACAGGTTCATTTGCGGGGCGATCTTGGGCAAGTCCCTTCCTCTTACTAGGCCTCAGTTTCACCATTCAGTAGTTGTGGTAGGTTATTCTAGAGCAGTGAGTTTTGAATGATCATCAGTCATCAACTTTACGGGGATCTGAGAAAGACATAAACGGTAGGGTACCACCTGACTGACCTGACTGCCAAATTCTGTGTATTTAAGTTGATGGTGGGGGAAGCCCTCTCCAAGCAGAACCTCTCCAAGTCAAGCTGAGATTCTGGAAGGGTGGCCCCCCCTCACTGGAAATGTACAGTAGGGCGGGTTCCCTATGAGCCTCTCCTCCCACTCAGAGATGACTTGACTTGCCTCCTGAGCTCAGCTGAGGACTTGGACTTTTCCAGTAAGTTCCTGAAAAATGAGGAATAATATTTGTCTCTCATCGCTGTTTTCAGGATTTGTTAAAATAATGCTAAGATAGTTTTAATAGTCTTTTTCTTGCCCCTTCCATGCCCATCTCTTTTCTTATTTTTAATTACAACATATGCATGTTGCAAAAAATCGCAGAAGAAATGGAGTGAAAAGCAGAAGCCCCTTTCCCCCCTCCCATCTGCCCCAAACCCACTCCCTTCTCCACTCCCAGCTGTTTGTATCTTAATAAAGGAACAACAACAAAACCTGTTAACCCCAAAAGAAGGAAAGCTGGAGGCACTGGGGATTAATAAAAGTAATAATTAGAAAAACTCATTTTAATTCAAGTAAAGAGGAGGGGGAGAGAGGAGGGGGGGCTTGGAGTGCTCCCACTTAATGGGCACAATGGAGGGGTGTACGGCACAACTTTTGGGTGTGGGACACAACTACAAGAGAGACTCTAACAAATTCAAATATTGTGACTTGGTTGTTGGTACCCTCGCATTAACCCGAAATTTTAAAAAGTAATAATATTACAATAGTAAATAATAAATTAACATTTGTGAAATGGATACTCATGCTAGATATTGTGATGGTATTTAATATACATTTCAAAAATTCAATTTGTGATTGCGAGACATTGGAGGGTTTTGAGTTCAGATCATTCTTAATCCGCTCACAGATGTACAAGTACTTGGGAGAAGATCCTGGAAACTTCTTCTCTTTCTTACGCTTCCCAAACTCTCTCCTTTAGGCTGAAAGGAGGCTGCTTCAGCAACAAAGAGCATTTCATATGCAGACATCCACTTTTTTTTTTAAACTGAAATCTGAATGTGGTGAGTCTGAACTAGAGGCTGGGGCATGATTAATTACGGCAACCATCTTAACCTGCCCAGAAGCTGGGCCTGAAAGAAATGAGGCCAGGCTGAAGAGAAACAGCTAAGGACCGGTAGGAATGCTAACAGACCACCTTCAACCGGCCCTGTTCTTCTCTCAGCTGCTAGTAAAAAGGGTTGGAAGATTTAAGGAATCTGTTCCTGTCTCACTGGTCCTGGCCAACCCCAGAATCAACTCTCTTGATTGGAAATAAACAGGATCTTCCTTTTGTCCCCAGGAATGTGATGGAGGAAGGACTCTAAGGCAAGGGCCCTCTTCTGCCAAAGAATGATAATAACAACAATGATGACAGTAGAAATAAAATATTACCCTCTTCATCAAGGGTGAAGAAGAATGTCCAGTTGTGTGTTGAACCTTCTTGCCTCGGTGTGCCCCTCTGATTGCTGCAATGTGTGATTTCTAAAGCAGTGAGTTTTGGATGACCATCAGTCATCAGTTTTGGGGGGATCTGAGAAAAATATAGAAGCCAGGACACCACCTTACTGAACTGGCTACCATATATTTTAGTTGAATCCACAGGTCCAGAATGTTCAGCCGAGGTCTGATCTGAACTTTCTATTTTGTGGCCCTCCTGAGTACACTTGTACAAACTGGGCTGTATGCTTCAATGTGGGGTTCAGAGACTAGGATCACAAGGACAGCACTTCTTGTTGACAAGAACTGCAAATGACAGGGTGTAAGCCTGACCACCTCTCCTATAGGGTGTGTATCAGTCTGGTCTAGCCCTAGTGCCTACCATGGAGCCTGGTCCCTGGAAGCCAGGGCAGAGGCTGTGGAGTAAGGCAGGGCAGCACAGGGGATGTGGACAGCTCACTTCTCATCAGTCCCTGAGTGGGGTTAGGGGACCAAGGAAGAACCTGGATGATGGCATGAGCCTATCTTGTCCCTCCATCCTCCGAGGGCAGGAGTGGGAAAAGCTGCCTTCAAGACAGAGCCCCAACAAGACTTGTCTCCTATGTTGCTTCTTGTAAACTCCTTGTAAAGGAATCATTTGTTTACCTCCCTCCCTAAGGGAGGCCCAGAAGAAGAACTTCACCTTTACGATTTCTATGTGATTTTCCTTTTTGTTCAAGATGGTGATTGGGAGGCAAAAGGAGTCCACTCCCACCCCTTTCAATTCCTGGGTCCAAGGACACAGATTCTTTTTCTCCATCTCCTTTCCCCCTCTTCCTTTTCCTCTCCTTTCTCCTCCTTCTACTCCTTATTCTCTCATTCTGAAGACTAACTTCTAAAGCTGAGGGCAGTAAAGAGAGCCGAATCCAGTCTATTTCTGCTCCCCCCTCAGCTACATTCAAGAAATTACTACTGTTGTGGTCTGGAGGTTTGTATCTCCTCCTCTGCCCTCCAAATCCCTTTGTGGAAATCCTAGCTCTCATGGTGATGGCATTAGAAGGTGGGGCAGGTGATTAGGTCACCAGAGTGGTGCTCTCATGAATGGGATTAATGCTTTTATAAAAGAGGCCCCATGTGAAGGCACAGTGAAGACCGTTGTCTGTGAACCAGAGAGTGAGTCCTCACTATACAGCTAATCCCGGTTGCCTTTCTCTGGCAGCCCCTAGAACTGTGAAAAATAAATTTCTATTGTTTATAAGCTTCTCAACGTATGGCATTTTGTTATAGTAGCCTCAACACACTAAGACAACTCCTTTCCTCAAGAACATTCAATAGCTGCCTATTGTCATTGGTTTACATTTCTAACACTAAAGCCCACCTCAATCTGAGCTATGCTGAATTATTTTTGTGATTTCTCCACATGCTCCTTCCGCATATAGTCAACTGGTCTTCTTGGTGTGCTCACCAAGTAAAGACAGGAGGGAGTGGGGAGGCACTTCCAAACAAAACTATCAACTCCTGTAAAACCAAGGAGAGGATGGGAAAAGTGGAGAGGAGGGTGAGAAGGCTGGACTGGTAAGGACTGATGAGATTCTAAGAGATCTTCAGGGGACATACCAGAGATTTAGGATTGTATTATAATACAATGTATTATAAAATGTCTTGATGGGGAGGTCTTTGACAGATTTTAGGTAGGGTCAAATTGGGCTTTTATAATGCTCACCCTGGGAATATGTGGAGAAGTTGACAGTAGTGGGGGAGGTCTAAAAAGGGAGAGGAGATTCCTGCCCACTTTGGTGTCATTAGTAGATAGTGCCAGTGCCTGCAGACCATCTATGCTCAGAAGGCAGAGGCGTGGATGGGAAGACCTCCAGCAACTCCCTTCTACTGGGGGAGGGGAGGGTAATTCCCCACTTTCCTCTCTGAGTGGGTTTGGGCTTGCTTCCCTGTGAGTCCTCTTCTATCAGTCAAAGCCCTTCTAGGAAGGCTGAGGTGAAAGGTGGTGGGGAGGCCAGATCATGACTGTCTGGGCCTGGGCCCACTTCCTCCTTTCTAGGCAGGAAAGACAGACAAAAGTGGACAATGGGCCAGAGAGGGCGGGGCCGCAGAGAAGGAGGGGTGTGGGGAGCAGGTCCTTGGAAGGCTCCTTTTCATCCCCTTATCTCTGGAGGGTAGGCTTTCTTTTTTGGCCTGTAGGACCTTTTGTTGCAACATTTCCTGGAACCCCCCAAAGTAAACACAGTCAAGTCTGCATTCTTATAGCTCCAGTCTGCTGAATCTGCTCCTCCCAGCAGAGAGAGAGGGGCGGGGAGGCCAGTAATGGGATCAACACTGCTCATCAGGATGCTGACAAGGGCCCACCTAGCAATGTGTTAGGACTGGGGCTGAGAGACTCTGAGATAACCACAAAGTGCTCAACCATGGTCATAAATGTTTAGCACAGGGGCCAATGAAATTAAAAGCCCTTCATACATGCCCCCCATGGGGGTGGGGAACCACAAAGGATCAGCAGGCCTGCTGAGTTAAGGTACCCACAATGTGTATAAGACCAAGAGTCTGGTGTGTTAGGACTCAATTTCCCCTTCTCTATTTGGTGCCTACACCCATTGGTATGAAAGGAGCAGTGGAGAGGCCAGTTAAGGCTGACAGCCTCTTAGGTGCAATGGGGAGTGGGTGATGTCAACCATTTGGTGGTAGCTTTGTGCATCCTGGGGTGGTGGAGGTGGGAAGGTAAGAATAGGTAGGGGGAGAATTTGGATCCTTCCAAAGAAGAACAGGCATGAGCTTAGTGAGCTACCTGCCCACTGGGCCTGATTTAGTCCAGGCCACCTCTTACTTCCACATGGAGGTGGGGGGCCAGGCAGTGACTGACCCCACTGATGACTTTAAGCCTCACAATTATCTTTTCCCTCTGAGAAGGGGGAGAATAAGTGAAGTCTGAAGTCTGGGGACACCATGCAATTCTCCTTACACATGGCTCATGACTGTCAACTCCTGGAGGCCACATGTGGGTGGGGTAGCGGTGGGTGGGGCTCTTGGCAGAGGCAGCACTTTATTTATGCGGAAATTCACCTCCCCTCACGTTCCCCTCTACAAATGTAACCCCCAACTCTCCAACCTTCTGACTTTCTCCCTGGTCACCAAAGCTGGGGAGGGGAGTTCAGGCCTCCAGGCCCCAGCTCTCCGAAGTTGAGGGCAAGTTATGTAACTAGATTGTGAAATTTAGGAAACGCCTGGCTCTCTACACGGTGGCTAACGGCTCAGCTGGGGAGCTCCAGAGGAATTCCCCCCGTCCCTAGCCTGGCCCTGAGTAACGCAATAAATTTAAAGGGGTCTCCTCGGAGGGTGAAGGGCCCCGGGAAGCCCCGCAGGGTGGGGGACGGCAGGATCCTGGAGGAGCCCGGGGCGAGGACCACCTGCGGCAGCTCGCACCTGCGCGAGGGTCAGGGTCGGGGAGGGGGGCGGCGGCGGAGCCCAGGTCGAGCGGCCGCCCGGCGCCTCCAGCTTCCGCCGGGTCAGCTGACCGCCCAGTGCGGAACTGCGCGCCCGGCTCGCGTCCAGGCTCCGTCAGTCAGTGCCGCGCGCCCGCCCGGTCCTGGCCACCATGGCCGGGCTCGTGGTCAGTGGAACTCAAGTAAGTCCGGCCGAGCGAGTCCCGCCCCCGCTCCGGGATCGGTGTGCGGGGAGGGACGGCGGGGGCTGTCTCTGCAGGTAGTGAGTGTCAGGTGCCCAGGCTGGCCCTAGTTTGGCGAGGACAGACCCCGTTTCGGGGTGGCACACCCCTTAGCTGAGTGCGAGGAAGACCCCCAGGTCTCCCGGTCCCCTCCACTCCCCTCTGTCCGGAGCACCTCCCTGAGCAGGCCCAGCAGGTCAACTTCTTCATTGGGCTTTTGGGGGCCCACAGAAAATGTTTTAATTTCTTTTATAATCCGGATTTAAAAAGAACTTTTGATCAAAGAAAACGTTTACTATATGACATTAATATAGTTGTCTTTATGCCAATGCATTTGTAAAATATAAATTTATTTATAAATGAAGGAAGGGACCCATGAAGGCAGAAGTGCCTAGAATCACCAAAGTCACAAGGTGCCCTGGGGGAGGGCGGTGTTGGGCTCCTTATCCAAGGGCTATAGAACATCATTGTGTCCACAGTTTTATTTCCACACCTGATTTCTTATTTAGTTTTTAGAGAAATAAAGCCTATACCTATAAGGTATCAAGCCTTGTAAAATACTAAGTGGCTGTGGTTCTGGACAGTGGTATATTCATTACTTTGCACAGACTACCATGCTTTGGGTGACTCTAAGAAAAACAAATGGAAGGACTGAATAGAAAATTATGGTCATTTGTCCTCTTGAACTCAGATTCCTCTTACCTTGCTGGCTCAAAAGTAAACTCAGATGAAAGTAATCGCTGTCATCCAGGCTGGACTGCAGTAGCATGGGTCCCAGCTCACTGCAGCCTTGAACTTCTGGGCTCAAGCCATCCTCTCAGTAGCTGGGATTACAGGCTGTTCTTATCACACCCAGCTAATTTTCATTTTCATTTTTTTTTTTTTTTTTTGGAGATGGGTCTTGCTAATGTTGACTAGGCTGGTCTCAAACTCCTGGTCTCAAGTGATCCCTCCACTTCAGCCTCCTGAGTCATTGAGATTACAGGCATGAGGTCCTGAGCCTCCCTGCACTTGATTTCTTACACTAGGTGTCTGTGGAGATGAAAATGCTTCAATTTCAGTTCTGGTTGATAGACACCCAGCTTCACGCGCATTCAGGCCTGTAGTGAAGCCTCAGGTTTTTAGTCATTGCTGGAGAGATGAACTCAGCTGTGCTTGGACCAGACATCTTACCTGCTGGACATATCTCTATCTTTAACCTGTTCTCTGCTCTCTGATTAAGCCAGCCCTCCTACTTCCTATCTTTTCTTACAAACCCTGGAGAAATAGTTCCGAGTTTTTCAAGCTCTCTCCTTGGAATGCCTAAGGCAGGCAGTGTCAGGTGCAATTGGATTTTGAGATTACTTGGTGCTAAAGGGAGTGATTCCCCTTAGAGGAGGTTCCAGGGGTTTTGTAACTCCTACAGATGTGATGAGGGCAAACTGCAACCCATCAAACTGGCCACTGCCTATTTCTGTTCCAGAGTCCTGTCGTTTCATCAGTTACACTTACGTATTAGGTGTCAATTGTGTGCTAGGCACTGTGTCTGGTGTTGGAAATTAGCCCTTCCATTGTCTCTCTATACCCGGTAGTTAACAGAATTTTGTTGCCTAGGGATATAGGCACTGTCCTTAGACTCATAGCCTGTGAGGAAAGAGCTGGAAGAAAGGCCAGAGTGCAGAATGAGCAGCTGCTAGCTTGTGGGGAGACTTTAAAGATGATGACTCTTGGGCTGAGTGTAGTGGCTCATGTCTGTAATCCCTGCACTTTGGGAGGCTGAGGCAGGAGGATTGCTTGAGCCCAGAAGTTTGAGACCAGCCTGGGTAACTATGGTGAAATCCCATCTCTTAAAAAAAGAAATTAGCTGGGCTTGGTGGCACATGCCTCTCTAGTCCCAGGTTCTTGGAGGCTGAGGCAGGAGGATGGATGGCTTGAGCTCAGGTGTTCAAGGTTGCAGTGAAGCTCTGGGTGACAGAGTGAGACTGCCTCTTAAAAAAAAAAAAAGACTCTCATTAAGCTGGCAGAGAAGGGGGCTTCTGGGAGTTAACATCACTGCCCTGACCCCAGGGAGGATCTGGATTAGAGGGCCTCTGCTCTTTTTTGGAATATCTGCCCAAGAAGGAGGATCCCCTCCCCTCTAGACCCAAAGCCTCTGTATTTTCAAATCCAGCATTTTTCTCTGTATAGTTTCTTCCAAGTTCATGAAAGACTTGACAGGGGTTGGGGAAGTGCTGAGAACTTTCAAGGGCCTCCTTTTCCTTTTCTCTTCTCCCATTCCCAATGTTGATTTTTCCTGCACACCCTTTCTAGCCTACTCCAGACAGCCCAGAGGCATTCACTGAAGTACAGGTGAAACATTTTGGGCCACTGGGGACAAAGATGGAGCTGTCTGGGGAGGAGCCAAGAAGGCAGGTTGGATAAAGCCCATGGGCTGTTAGAGGAGCCCTATTTGAGTGTATAGCTGTATTTGAGTACCTGCTCCGCCCCTTCCCCTACCCTTAGGGCACGTGTTAGCATTCTGTCCCAAGTGATTTGAAGTACCACCTGCCTGTGTTCAGCAGGTACTTTTCAAACTTTGGTAGGTCCTTCATAAAAGGAAGGTGGGAACTTCCCATGAACCCAGGGTGTCGATATAGTTTTTATTATAGTGTTACTCACATGTACGAAGCATAAAACCAGACATAACTTTCTCATATTTAGAGCCCTATAAATCTTTAATAAAGGGATGGTTTAAGTGCAAAGAAAAAAACCCAATAAAATTAATTTAATGAGATGGGTGATGTGTGGCTGAAGCTAGGTCACTGCTCTGGACTCCACTGTGGACTGGCTGCTATGAAACTGGTCTTTAGGCGCTCCACAGGTCATGGTACTACTGTGCTTGGAGATGGTGCATTCTTCCCATTACTTTCCTCTGTTAAATCTTTTCCTTTGACGTGGGTCTGGCTTCATTTGGCTTCTTATGCCTTGAAGGCATCATTTATATTCAACATTAAGTCCCCTTTTTGTCCCCCACTAGTTTATGAGAGCTAAAAGTGGCACCAAAGTGATTGTAGACACAAATGCAAACTTGGGATTTGGGCACTGAAATCTTGTTCTCAAGAGTTGCAAATCCCTTCCATAGGGTTACTGGTCTGATTTAACAGCTATTCAAGTGGCCACAAGGTAACAAGGTCAGTGCTTTGTGCTTTTAGTAAGTTATCTCATTCCCCATTCCCGTTAAGTACAATATCCATATTTATAAGGATTGTATCCCTACGGGGCTGTTTATGAGGACTGAATAGATGACACGTGGTGGGCATGCTACTTGTTACATTATTTTTAACACTTTTGGAGGCAGTTGGTGTTAGACGGTTACAGAAGAGGAAGCAGAGACGCTGAGAGGCTGTGACTCATCCAAGATAATGTAGCTAGTCAGGAGCAGCCAGGGGACTCAGACTTGTACCTAGAGTTGTTTCTACTGTGACAGAGCTTCTAGTACTACACATTTAAAATCGAAGACCCCTCAGCCCTGGCTCGGAGCAGGTGTCATGAAACAGTCTCCTCTTAGTTTGACTGCTGGTAAACCCACTGTTCCTAGAAATGTCCTGGGAGCCAGGCAGTCCCAATGCAAAGAGAAACCGGCAGCTTCTGTGGTTTGGTTATTTCCTGAAGCTTCTGCTCAGAGGGCTTGAGTGTGTGTGTGTGTGTGTCCCTCTGGAGGCTGACATTCTCCTTTCCCTTTCTGACGTTTCTCCCTTAGGGGTCTTCAATGTGATATATTTTCGTTTGCCATGGTGTCCCTTCCTGTTGTCCTTCCACACAGGGTGAAAGTCATAGGGTACAGATTATACCAGGTAGGAAAGGTAAAAGTTCAAATCTTTGTTCAATTCAGTCTAAATCGAGATAATTGACTAAATGCACTGACTTCTGTACCGTTTAAAATCTATTAATCTCTATATACCTTCTCCCATTTGCTGAAGAAGCAAACCTATTTTTGGTTTGGTTCTCCTGGTCTTGTATCTTACATTAGGTGGTTCTGTGCTCTGAGTCGCTTCCTGGCATCCTGGAGGTAAGGTGTTCCACTCAGAAGCGCTTCTTAAGTAAGTTTCTCTTCTAGTTGAAAGTATTGGCTGCAATGTCCGGCAGTGGCTGCTTGCTGCTCTTAAGTCTTTTCTGTGGAGTTGAGCTCTTTAGCCTGTTTACCTTAACTTACAATCTCTAAAAGCTTCCAGTTTAACGACAGGGGTGGTTCAAGAATGCAGATTGTTTCTCTGGTTGGTTCTTGTGCTAAATTTTTTAGAGATTTGATTTTTGTTTCTGTGGAATGGGAACAAGTGTTTTGTTTAGTTTTCCTGGGATGTTGTGGGGTAAAGACCACGTGGTAAAACAGGCTGGGGAAGGTCTTATCAGACAGGTTGTGAGTCATCTGAACGTTTCGTGGTGATAGCTCATCTTGGTACTACTGTCTCATCTGAAGGGGAATCCTGCAGAAGGAGAGGGGAGCAAATATCCCTTTCTTTCCCTAGGCTCTAACACTCTTCTTGGGCCTTCAGTGTTCTCACCCTTTCAGCCAGGAAGACTCATCTGGAAGCCAAAACATGATGAGAGGGGCACCACTGGCATTTGTTGATCAAGAAAACTCACACCCACGTGAGGATTTGTAAGCACCGAATGGCCCCCATGTTGGAAGTCCTTCGTCATGGTGCAGGACTTGGTTCAAGCTCTATCATTAAGAATCTGTGCTGTGCTGGGCAGGACTCTGAAATCTTAATTTCCATGAGGGCCTTTGACAAACTGGGTTCCTACTAGATTGTGCCCTGGGCTAATCTAGGAGAAACAAGCTCATGCTCTATGTCTAAAACTCAATGTCTTTGCTGTATAATGTGGCAGAAGATTTAAATGATGATGCTACGTACAAGATGGTAGTGCAGGCTGGGTGAATGGGATGGTTTTTCTGGTGATCTCCACATTCTTGGGAGTCAATGAGAACTTACGATAGAGATGAAGCTGCTTATTGAATGGTTATCCCAAGGGAGACTGAAGTCCCCAGATTAATTGGGGCCCCATATTCCCATTTTCTTCTTGGTGTATGATTGCCATCTCAGCTTGGAAGCTGAGTTTCACGTACTGCACAAGGAAGTTGTGAAAAGAGATGAGTCCCACGGAGGAAGGGGAGAGATTGCTAGATCGATCTTCAGAGTCTTTTGTTTTAGCCTGCATCTTCTTGAGTCAAAATTATTTTATTAGTGTCAGCAACTGTTTTGTTCCTTCTCTCTTCCTGGAATGAAGTTACTGAAGGAGAATGAATAGGAAGAGAGTGAATACAGGATGTTGTATCATCAGTGGTCTGTTCCCATTGACTAGAGAGTCGAGAAGTGACTTGTGATATCGAGGGTGCTAAGCTTCAGTGTGACTTGTGTTAGGTAGAACTATATGGAAGTGCTTAGTAATGGGTGGATATGGTAACTCACGGTTCAACTTAACATCAGGAGGCTGAGATGGCTGTTGTATTCTTGTTCCCCTTAGGAAACATAATCCCGGCAGGAATCTCTTCTTCTTTCCAAGACATCTTTGTGTGTATGTGTAGAAGAATGTGGATTTGTAGGGAGACTGGATTAAGGCTATAGCCATATGACAGGCCTGAATTTCTACCTGAGAGTTGCATGTGTTCTATTTCAGGGGAATATTATGTATTATGGCCCATGGGCCAACTCAGACCTATGGGTTTGTTTTATGGGTTTTGGAAATTTTTTTTTTTTTTTGGCAAGACAAAGTCTTACTCTGTTGCCCTGGGTAGAGAGCCATTGTATCATAGTTCACAGCATCTGAAAACTCTTAGGGTTAAGTGATCTTCTTACCTCAGCCTCCTGAGTAGCTGGGACTACAGGCACCCACCACAACACCTGGCTAGTTATTTTATTTTATTTTTTAATTCTTTTTATTTTTTTTTGAGACAGAGTCTCACTCTGTAACCTTTGCTTGAGTGCTGTGGTGTCACAGCTCATAGCAACCTCACCTCAGCCTCCCAAATAGCTGGGACCACAGGTGCCCACTATAATGCCCTGCTATTTTTTGTTGCAGTTGTCATTGTTGTTTAGCTGGCCTGGGCTGGGTTTGAACCTGCCAGCCTTGGTGTATGTGGCTGGCACCGTAACCACTGTGCTATGGGTGCCACCTAGTTTTTTTATTTTTAGCAGAGATTGGGGGGGTGTCTCACTTTTGCTCAGGCTAGTCTTGAACTCCTAAACTCCAGCAATCTACTGGAGCTTCCCAAAGTGCTAGGATTACAGGTCTAAGCCACCATACCTGGTGGTTTTGGAATTAATTGTCAATCTGCCTGCCCTGTATTATTTACAAAAGCATTTCCAAAAATTGGGTGGTTGGGGTAGTGAGAAAGCCCAGTGCCCTTCATATATAGTCAGAAGCTTTAGGATCAAATAGCAATTCAGCTTTTTAATATCTGGGCACATATTAGGTACTTAATAATAAATAATTTAAACAAATAGAAGAACACCGAAGGAAGCAGCTCTGTACACAGAATGTAGTTGATTGCAAAAGGCACCCTGGAGGAGGGAAGTTTGGAAGTTCTGGCCACATGTCACTGCCTTGCTGCCTTAGAACCAGCTTTTATCAGTGTGGAGAGCATTTTATGCACAGTGGTAATGGGATGGGGTTGGTGTTTGGGGGAGGCTTTTTTGTCCAGCCCTTGAAGGGTGAATGCTGCTAAGTGTGTCTGCTGTGTCTTATATGAGGTAATGTACGTAACAGGGTATGGGGGGTGAGTGGAGGCGAGGCAGAGGGCAGCTGTTGCAAAGGTCCCTGATTGTAAGAAGCTGATTGTCGCAATTCTATCAGTGTGCTCTGACATAGGGGGTTTCTTTTGGATACCTGAATCTGGCCACATTTTAGTTCAGTTGTGCTAGGATTCGTCTCCATCATGTTAACTATACCAGGAAGGGGAAGCTGTCGGTGGAGTCCCTGAAGCCCCCAAAGATGATTTGATCAGGAAAACCGCCGCCAGCATGGCCTTTCATGTGAGGAACGTGGGCTAAAGTTGCGGAAGCAATCATGGGATCAGTGACTCAGGTTTGGGGGCAGCTGGGTGATTTCTGTTTGCCACATTGTTTCTGTTCCATTTAATTTCCAGGTGTCCTACATAGCCCAGGACTGCAGAGAAATTCCAGAGCACCTTGGCAGGGACTGTGGACATTTTGCAAAGAGGCTTGATCTGAGCTTTAACCTCCTGAGGTATGTAACCTTCACAAGATGCAGCCCAGGCCTGGGAGGCCCCGCTCCCCTGGGTATTTAAAGGGGCGGCAGATAAAAGTCAAACGCTCCAGCTTTGGCTTGGGTGCGCTCTTATTCAGGGCAAGGCCCTTGGACTCGTGGAATCTCCCCCTAAAGATTTGACTCTGCTTCACGTGATTCCTTGGTTGGCCTTTTTGTGCCACTGAAGGGGCAGTGAGCGTTGGAGCGTCCTCCATCTTACAGCAGTCCCTGGGAGGGGGTTGTTATGTTTTTACTTTGTTGTTTTCCTTTCTCACTGATGTCTGTGCAGACAAGTCAGAGGACTCTTGGGGAAGGAATGACACGGAGCCTGCAAGAGTGTTTTGGGGGCACTTAGATGTGCTTTCTGGGGTAACCTCGTCTCCCAAAGTATTTGCTAAGTCACAGATGGGACGTGTGTACGTGTGTGATTTCTTTCTCTTGCCTTTTTATGAATTGGAACTTTAAATATTTGTGATGACCATTTTCCCCAGGTGGTGTTTCAGAGGAATTCAGACACTGTTGATGTGGGGTGGATGGGAGGGAAATTCTCTGACCACCATTCTGGTCTTGGGAAAAGGCGAATGGAATCTTGGATATTATTCCGATGGAGAATACAGGCAGTTGTCTCATTTCTTCCTGAAAGGTTATGAATTACAACCAGTTTGGGAGCTTGGAGGAGAAAAGTGGGAGGGACTTAGGAAGCAGGTATCAGTGGGGTAAGTGAGTGGGAGTCAGGGTGGTGGGTTTTTCCTCCTGATACGCTCGTTCCATGAAGGGCTTTTCTCTGAGTGCCCTCCTTGTGAGCCGTGCTGTCCTCTTGGTGGGACAAACTGTCTAGGGCAGTGGTTCTCAACCTTCCTAATGCTGCAATGTATTTTCATTGTTAAAAAGGGGTCATGACCCACAGGGTGAGAACCTCCGGTCTAGGGGTACAGGAGAGATGAGGAGCCCGACTCCCATTCTAGGAGTCAGGCACTATCCATCTTCCAGGCCTTGGAGTCTTTGCATTTCCAACCTCTGAGTCAGGATGCTGGGACATTAAGAATTGGAGGGAAAATGGACAAAGCTCGGGGCGGTAAGGCACCATGGGGTAGAGGAGAATTTAGTTTTAAGCTAAGCCAGCAGAGCTTCTTGGGGTGTGTCCAGGAGCACACAGCTACACTGAGCTGTGTCGCCTGCAGGAAAAGGGCGTCCAGATGGTTGTGGTGCAAAGAGTGGGCGCTGTCCCCATGCTTTCTCTGACACCCAAAGAGTTTGTATGCATCTGGGGAGATGTGGAAACTGAAAGGTCACCAAGCAATGCACAGGAAAGAGAGGAAGTCAGGTAAGTAAGCGCTGACTGAGAGAAACAAAGGATGGGTTTTGGTCCCAACACCAAAGGAGAGGACTGAGTGCAGGCCTGGAGTGGTCTGTGTCTGAGACACGTGTGCTCCCAGGGCAGACTCAGGCCAAAGGCTCCCTTGCCCGGGTACTGATAGGAGATGCTGTTATGTAACCAGCCTTCAGGGGTTGGGGCATCGTGGCTCTGAGTCACAGTTACCCTGTGAATGGCTGGTAGAGGCCCGGATGTGGGTGTGGAGGCTGGATCCCTCAGGGAAGGTTGTCAGTGGGTATGGTCATAGGACTGGGCTGTCAGCTCTGAGGACACAGAGCTGCCTTTGTCAGGCCCCGCAGCCCTGCCTCCCTTGGGCAGAGAAGGGGCAGCACCTTGTGAGTGCGGCAAGAAGGAGCCCTCAGCTCTAAGGGGCTGGATCTGTAGCGATTTGTCATAGGAAATGAAGAGGCCCGGGCACAGGAATATTTAGTGAGAGGGTCTGTGAAGTGGACTCAGAAAGAGAAGAAGATCTACATTTTCCTTTGCTGAGAGGAGAGAGATGTCTGTTGTGTTGAGTTTGAGGAGCTTTCCCATCTGCCCAGGAACCTGTTCTTGGCTGTGTTGTGGTCAGAGTGTGGTCTCCACACCAGGATGGGGCTATGTTTAGGCAGGGAAGAGCCAGAGAGGTCTGTGGTTCAGAAAGAGTTCATGTATAGGACTCATTGGGCTGGAGGGGGTTACAGACCAGAGTGGAGAAAAGCCCTGCTGGCCTGACTTGGGTATGCTGGGGGAGGGGGTCACCTCTGACCTTCTTTATTTACCTAATTGGGGACCGAGGGGAAGCAGCCCTATTTATCTTAGTGGTTAGAGGAAGATTTGAGCTTATTCAGGCCCCTGGTCTCTATCTCTGCCTTCTTTGAGCAAAATCAAAATCTAAGATGTTTTATTTAGATGCTTAGCTAATTCCTCTTAAAAAAAAATAAACAGAGGAGAGGGGAGAAGTAGGAAGAAGGGAAGAGCTAGGAGATCATAAACTTACCTGATGAGAAATGGGTACATAACAGATAACTGAAGCAGACTTGTCTTTAATATTTTGCAAATGAAATATTGTAAGTCTGCATGTTATATTCTGTGGAAAGTTTCTCCCTAAGCCCCGTCACTATTTCCAGGGGATTTTGGAGAGCTTATGTTATAGCCAGTCTGCCCTGCACCCAGTTCACTGCTGTTCCTGCTCTGACCATGTCTCGGCTCTGTTGCTGCTTTTTGGTCTCTTGGCAGTCTGCCTGGCCCCACTCCGGACACTTCATTTCTCTAAGGCCCAATATAGTATCATTATATGTAATAGATTTGTATCTTCAGTCGAAGGTATAGTATGGGGGACCTGGTAATCGTGGCACACAGCAGGAGATGAGTTTGGGTAGCACTACTTCCAGGAATGGGGATACTTCCCTCCACGGAGAATTTCTTCCTGCTGGTGCATCCACTCGGGTCAGACCTGCTTGCGACCATGTACCTCTTTCTCCCTTTCTCTCTTTTCTATGCCACCCTCTTTCCACAGCTGCCCTCAGAAACAGAAAATTCTTTTCCTTTTGTTATATACAGAAAAATCAACCCCCTGTCCTCCTTTTCAGAACATCCCTATAGGTTTCCTTTCACCTCTGAAGAGCCATACCAGGGTATTGCTTTAAAAAGACCAATACTCCCTAAGGAAAATTTTGCTACTCCCTGAGGTTGCAAGATCAACAACAGTGTTTTAGGCCACAATTTGTTTTTAGACAAGGGGATGTGTTTATTCCTTTTTTAAAAGAAGCTAATATATGAGCAAGGCACAACCTTTAGAAAGAACAAACGTGAAAACAGTGCTAAGAAGGTCTCCTTTACACCTGCCCTTTAGCCATTCAGTTCCCTTCTGCACTGGTAACTGCTGTTACTCAGTTTCTGTGTAGTCTTCCAGAGGTATTCCGTGCATATGCGGACATGTGAAATTCTGATTGTTTTCCAGCTTTATTGACCTATAATCGACAAATATTGTACGTATTTATGATGATGTACAATGTGATGTTTAGATATGTGTATACATTGTGAGATAATTACATGATTAAGTTAATTAATTTATCCATCAGCTCACAGTTACCTCGTTTTTTGTGGTGGGAACATTAAAGATCTACTGTCTTAGCATATTTCCAATATATAGCATGGTAATATTATAATATATATATTAATATATTATATTAATTATATTATATTACATTAATATATAATAATATATAATATAATAATTAATATAGAATTAATATATAATAATTAATATATTAATTATATTAATTATAGCCACCATATTGTACATTATATATATACATTTAAGTCTTTAATCCATTCTGAGTTGACTTTTGTATATAATGTGAGATAAAGGTCTAATTTTATTCTTCTGCATATCCAGTTTTCCCAACATAGTTTATTGAAGAGATTGTCCTTTATATATTCTTGGTAACCTTGTTGAAGAGCAGTTGACTATAAAAACATTACTTTATTTCTGGGCTCTCTATTCTATCCCCTTGGTCTATATGTCTACTTTATGCCAGTACCTTGCAGTTTTGATAACTATAGCTTTGTAGTACATTTCAAAACTAGGGGTGTGATACCTCCAGCTTTGTTCTTTTTGTTTTTTGTTCAAGATTGGTTTGGTTATCTGGGATCTTATGTGGTCATATGAATTTAAGGAGTTTTTTTCTTTATTTCTATGAAAAATGCCACTGGAATTTTGTTAGGGATTTCACTGAATTTTGACTGCTTTAGGATCTTTTAATTTCTTTCTTTCATCAGTGTTTTATAATTTTCCCTGTACATGTCTTTCACCTCCTTGGTTAAATTTACTCTTGTGTATTTTATTTATTTTATTTTATTTTTTTTGGGTGCTATTATAAATGGGATTGTTTTCTTATTTTCTTTTCTGGGTAGCTCTTTGAGTATATAGGGACACAACAGATTTTTGTATATTGATGTTGTATCCTGAAACTTTACTGAATTTGTTTTCTTAACAGTTTTTGATGCAGTCTTTATGATTTTCTATACAAAATATCATGCCATCTGCAAACAAAGATAATTTACTTTTTCATTTCCAATTTAGATGCCTTTTATTTCTTCTTCTTGCTTAACTGCTCTGGCTAAAACTTCTAGTACTATATTGAATAAAAGTTGCAAGAGTGAGCATGCTTATCTTATCTTTGATGGTAGAGGAAAAGCTTTCAGCTTCATGTTGAGTGTGATGATATCTGTGGGCTTGTCATATATGACCTTCATTATTTTGAGGTAAATTCCTCTATATCTAAATAGTTAAGGCTTTTTATCATGAAAAGATGATGAATTTTGTCAAATGCTTTTCCTGTATCTAGATAATCATATGGTTTTCAGTCTTTATTGTGTTAATACAATATAAATAATCAAATTAACAATATATCACATTTATTTGCATCTGCTGAACTGTCCTTGCTTCCCAGAGATAAATCCCACTTGGTCATAATCCCTTTAATGGGCTATTGAATTTGGTTTGCTGGTTAAAGGTTTTTATATCTATGTTCATCAGGGATATTAGCCTACAATTTTCTTTTCTTGTCTGGCTTTGGTATCAGGGTAATGGTAGCCTTGTTAAATAAATTTAGAAGCA